TGTGTGTGTGTGTTGTGTGTGTAGTATATATATATATATATATATATATATATATATATATATACATAATATATATATATATATATGTGTGTGTGTGTATTCCACTACTGTGCTGCTAACTGTATATTCATACCTACGCAGATACATGCGCATCTACCTACGTAGCTACATGCGCATACATACGCATATACATATACTAACATACACAACAAATAATCGCCACATCACAGAGGGTTGAGCGAGTGATCTACACAAAACTTAGTTTCTGTCTACAGTGCTACTAACTGTATACCCATACCTAAATAACTACATGCGCATATATAGCAACCTGCGTTGTACACACACACATATATATATATATATATATATATATATATATGTGTGTGTGTGTGTGTATATGTATATTGCGCCTACAGTACATACCGAGGTGTGTAGCCCATTTCGGGCAGTACGAATACCACAAGGTACAAAGCGACCAGATTGGTGTACATGAACACCGCTGAGATATTGAAATCCATATCGATATCCGGGAACAACCTGTGTGAGTAGTGATATAGAAATATTCCAACCAGGATTAAATACGGAGGACTGCTAACCAGAACGCACACTGGTGAGGGTCAGACACGCGCGTACGAACATTTTAGAGAAGAAGCTATAGTATCCATCCATCACACACACTCCCACACCGACATACTGCACGTGCAACTTGCCACATGACCATTGTACCTGTACATACTATACCACGAGCAAGTCATGATACACAGGCATGCACAAGGTAGTCATGGGAGAGTGTGTCCGTACCACGTGCGCAAAAGACTATAGGCATTCAGTGCACACACCTCTAAACCCCTACTAAACTAAACCTTAAACCCCTAACACCCCAGAACATCTTAGCGGTAGTAGCCATGATGCAAAGGTACGTACTACAACCACCACGAGACTCTGCACAGAAGCGGTTTACAACATATCACACAACGACGGACAATACTGCGCTCTTAACACATGAATACAAGGGCAGGCCAAAAGGTATGATAGGTAATCCAGGAGCCTAGATAAAAGGACTGAAAGCCAATAGACAGTCCGACAGAAACACAAACACAAATACAAACACACACACACACACACACACACTATATATATAGATGTGTGTGTGTATATATATATACTAATCCCGAAAGGAGAGGTAATATTGGTGCACACACTAAAAGTAGAAAGAAAACGGATTCCTGTTGCTTCCGCCTCCGCGCACACTATAATACATAACAAAACAAAAACGACGAAGTGACGAAGATTCAATGTCTGCGATACCAAGTATAGAACAAGTACCCAAGACATACCTCAGAAAGGATACACTATCGTCTATAGTTGTATAAAATAGCATGCGGGTTATTTGTGGTAGGTTTGCGTGGTATGAAGTATATAATATGCACCTATAGAACGAAGGACAGGGCCGACTCGAAAGAACCATAGACACACTCGTACAGTCGGTTCGCCATACTCACATACGACCAACGTTCTACAAACTAGAGACCATAGTCATAGCGCAGCTTAACAAACCTATTGATCCTCAACACTTGACACTCAACACTTTGTATTATAGCACACCACAGCACGTGAAAAACACCAACAAAGCCATAAGCCAAAATTCAGCCCGGAGCTATTCGTATCATACATTTTCCAGTAGTCCACCTGCAGTGGTGATGAGATAAAGACACATGAGCCTACGGCGATACTATCAAGGATGAGGGGAGTTTATAGGACGATGGGCATGGCATGTACGCACGTGATAAAACATGTGTTTTTGGCTGGTGTATACAAGTAGGTAGCTGTACTTATATGCGTGTATATGTTGCGTCGCACATACAGCGATATCACAAGAATCAGCTGGATACACAATATATATATATATATATATATAAATATATATATATATGGTATTAGCGGCGATAGCGTGCACTACTATAGTCATAAACAACGTTGAATATGCCGTCATATAACCAATCGCGCTTGGCTTGATTACATAACGCAATTTGACATGATATATAGAATACATATATGTATATTAAATGAAACAAACACCCTATAAAGGTGTATGGCTACCATAGTTTGATCTGGAGCATACATTCAAAAGTTAGGGGGGTGGCTGCAGGGACATCTGTCCAAAGTATCAGATATTCAAGTGCACACCCACATACACGAATTATGGAAATGATATAAACCATATGTGGTATTGGTAGTATGTGCTGACTAGCATAGACGCTCAAAGTGGCACTTTCGATCGATGCCAGCGTCCATCATACACGAATGTTATTCAGATGTATACTAACGTACACATTCAGGTTACAAACATACACATACACGTTCAGGGTACCAACATACACATACCCATTCAATATTACTAACATACACTGCGTCATATATTCAGATACACACTCACATACACAAATTACGGAATATATATGTGGTATACTAGTACGAACTAACTGGCACACACGCTCAAAGTGGCTCTTTCGATGCCAACCCGCATCATGCACCACCGTGTCGGCAAGAGACTCTAATATACTTAACGAACAAAATAAACAGAGCACGCAATGTATCGAGAAATGAATGGTCGGCCACTCCCAGTCTTAATCAGGGCTCACCGGTAGTACATTCCGAGGGAGGCTTCATCCCTACCAACACTCACACAAACACACACACGGGTGGGTGTATACGTGAGCTTACCACCACAAAACACTCACTGTCACAATACATCCATCATACATACATAAATACATACATACCGGCTGTGTCATGGCCGAGAACGGGAACAGGTACCCGATACCCAAGCTCATGATCAGAAAATTAGTCCAACCCCTTTGTGGGAAGTCCTGTCCGTCACCCCCATCTCCTTCCACAAACCCTCCCATCACCGAAGCAACTGATGTGGACCGATTGCGGTATAGTTTCCTGGGATCGGTGTTCATTTGCGACGCCATTAGTGGCTCCCGTTCAGCGGTGGCCGAACTCATGGTGACTTAGGTATATATATTGATATTCGTATTCGTATGAATTAGTGAAGGGATTGAGCCACTTTGCAGCTAGGCCTTTATATGTTTTAATGTTTAGTCGTTCACTGTTATGTGCCTGCGCTACATACACCGTACACGGAGTTCGTGATTGTCTGTTTACAGTTTACTACACTCTATCTGGATGATGTGGTGTATGACGGTGTGGTGTGGGTGCAGTTGCTAATTAACCAGCAATAAAATAAAACTCTATGAGTTTGTGCTGTAATAATTTTATTTACAATATATGATAAATAAAGCATTAAAAACTCGTGCCTTGGGCTCGTATAGCTTTATTAGTCTCGGGTATATACTATATACTCTATAAAAAAAAAGCAATTGTATGTACCGTATGTAAAATACAGACAGAGAACAGAGACTTCAGACTTCCGAGTTCTGACTTCAGAGTTCAGCACTTCAGACTTCAGAGTAAATAGACGGTAGCATACAGCTGGCCTATGGTCGTTTGTACAAAACAGTAAAAACACTCAGTCACACACATACAATTATTATAAATGTTATATTGCGAACTCGGAGATTCTCCGAGTTAGGTATTTTCAGTACAATTTGTACCAGGAGTAATTATTTTGACATGACCCACTAACGGTACAAAGTCTCAGATGGTGAGTCATAAATTAAGTCGGAGATTCTCCGACTTCTCAATTCCTAATTTGAAATATTATTCTAAAACTCTCATTGGCTATATTTTGGCAATTAATTTTTTTTCTCTTCTGGCCAATTTTTCATTTCGATGTAGAATTTTTTATGAATATGATTTTGGTCTTGGGTATTGCAACAGATCCGTTTTAGAAATTATCATGATTTTTGATGCTAAATACAAGTGAAATGAGGTGATTTAAGACGTCTTAAAGGTAGCGAACTAGTAGGTCTACCGAAAAACTGTCTTCGGGAGCTATAGACAGTTTTCCTTTTTCTTGAAATCGCATGCGAAACATATTAGAAAATCCTACTGCTAAGGATCGTGGCACGTCGGAGAATCTCCGGATTTCAAAAAATATTTTTTGGTAAACATTTTGGAACTCGGAGAGTCTCCGGGGTTCAAGGTGGACTGGTGATATTGTCACGGGCTTTTGTATGACGGTGAATTTATTCGGATATTCCCCACCAGAGGCGGGGCCCATAGACTATAGAGGGATAGCTTTTGCCCTTCTTTCCATATAAGGCATGAATGTTTATTTCTGTAAAATTCATAGCCATTCAATCATACATACTCTTTTTTCAGGCGGCTATGAAAACAAAGACTCCTAAATTGAACATGAAAAATTGAAAATTGAAAATAGCCATGCGGTCTATTATACCGTCTCGAT